AGGGAATTCGATTTACAATCCGTGCATGTGAGTGTAGAAGTAGCATAATCTACAGAATTAATCCATAGAGTCCGAATGAAGTCAAAACCCTAACCGTTTGCTTAAATTGATATTACTCGTCCTTTAAATCTTGCTTTCATTAATTAGTTTTTAATACTTAGTAGTTTTGTTTTCAGTTTAGTTCTAATCTCTCCCATAAATCAAAACAATTTTCGGTTTCTCCAACATGAAAAAATAGGAAAATCATTGATTAACAACCAATCCTTGTGGGAACGATACTCACTCATGACTCTATTACTTTTTGCGACTAGTGTACTTGCTACACATTACATGTTGTAATTACAACGCATCATTAAGCATGGATGGCCGAATCCATAGGAAGATCTCGCAAATCAACATCCACGCTTTTACTTGAATCAACAATATTTTTCTCTTATTCAAATGATGGGATCATTGTTGATGGGATCACTGTTGATTTTATTTTGAAATATCTCTGCATACTATTTCAAAACAACTATATATTGTTACATGATAGAGAAAAATGCAACAAATAAGCTATGTGCTTAATATAAACCAAACAATAACAATAATCTATGTATACAATAATATTTATTAATATAATTGAAGTCATAACTACTATAAAAATTTATAAAGCTAATAAGTTAAAAAAGTGGCTTGTCGGCTTGGTAGGTGGGAGAAAACTGTATTTGAGTGGATAAAGGAAATAAAATTTAGGAAAAAAATTGAAACGTAGTTTGTTGAATCAGTTATGGGCAATAGAGAAAGAACAGATCTAGGATACAGATAAAGAAGGGTTTAGTTTTGATAGCTCAAAAAGAAGAACGAAAGTTTAACTTATTTGATGAATTGGAGTTTTTTTGTAATCTACTTTTCATTTACAAAGACTTTATATAAGGTCATCTATACAAAATGATATGGGCAGGGGTGAGCATGGGTAGTGGGTAGAACCAGAATCGGAACCTACCAGAACCGACATTGTGGGGGTAGGTTTCGTTTCCAATTTTTTTTTGGAACCGTTATTATGCAGGTGCGANCTATTGTAGTATTGAACGCTAGAGATAGGTTTGAGAATCAATGAAATCAAGCTAGGATTCCATTAGCTTAATGAACTTGGAACTATTAATCTTCAAATTGTTGGGTGCGGAAGTTTAATAGGGAAAGGTAGGAATTCATAGTCTGAGAAGGTATGTTTTAAAACTTAGGGAATTCGATTTACAATCCGTGCATGTGAGTGTAGAAGTAGCATAATCTACAGAATTAATCCATAGAGTCCGAATGAAGTCAAAACCCTAACCGTTTGCTTAAATTGATATTACTCGTCCTTTAAATCTTGCTTTCATTAATTAGTTTTTAATACTTAGTAGTTTTGTTTTCAGTTTAGTTCTAATCTCTCCCATAAATCAAAACAATTTTCGGTTTCTCCAACATGAAAAAATAGGAAAATCATTGATTAACAACATCCTCATGGGAACGATACTCACTCATGACTCTATTACTTTTTGCGACTAGTGTACTTGCTACACATTACATGTTGTAATTACAACGCATCATTAAGCATGGATGGCCGAATCCATAGGAAGATCTCGCAAATCAACATCCACGCTTTTACTTGAATCAACAATATTTTTCTCTTATTCAAATGATGGGATCATTGTTGATGGGATCACTGTTGATTTTATTTTGAAATATCTCTGCATACTATTTCAAAACAACTATATATTGTTACATGATAGAGAAAAATGCAACAAATAAGCTATGTGCTTAATATAAACCAAACAATAACAATAATCTATGTATACAATAATATTTATTAATATAATTGAAGTCATAACTACTATAAAAATTTATAAAGCTAATAAGTTAAAAAAGTGGCTTGTCGGCTTGGTAGGTGGGAGAAAACTGTATTTGAGTGGATAAAGGAAATAAAATTTAGGAAAAAAATTGAAACGTAGTTTGTTGAATCAGTTATGGGCAATAGAGAAAGAACAGATCTAGGATACAGATAAAGAAGGGTTTAGTTTTGATAGCTCAAAAAGAAGAACGAAAGTTTAACTTATTTGATGAATTGGAGTTTTTTTGTAATCTACTTTTCATTTACAAAGACTTTATATAAGGTCATCTATACAAAATGATATGGGCAGGGGTGAGCATGGGTAGTGGGTAGAACCAGAATCGGAACCTACCAGAACCGACATTGTGGGGGTAGGTTTCGTTTCCAATTTTTTTTTGGAACCGTTATTATGCAGGTGCGATTCCGATTCCTATATGTGTAGGAACCAAAACTAGAACCGGAATCGAAACTTATGATGGGAACCTGAAACGGGTACCCTAGTGGTTACCCGCCTGGGTACCCTGAATGGAACCTATCTTGGAATTGAGTCCAAGTACCCGAGTAGGAACCTGTATTGGAACGTGGATTTAAATAAAATATCAGTAAAGAATTGGGGGTCTTTCGTAATTTGGTTTGCGAGTGGCTAGGAGTCACCCACCTGCCAAGCCCTACGTGATTTAAGGATATCTCCTCAACAATCAGCCAATGGGAAGCAGGGTAGAAATTGTACGGCACCTACCCGCTTATTGATTTATAATCATTACTCAAAAATCTCTTACTATAAGCAGAGGGCTCCCCTCTCATTTTCGGGATTCAGATAACAAAAAACACTCACTCTCCCTCTCTGTATTTCTACTGTCTGATCACTATACACGACTTGATTGTAATCTCTCATTTATAAAATGGAAGTGGACGTAGGATTCGCTTTGAGTATCCGAACCACTTTAAAAATCATCTCCCATTTATTTACTTCATTTTCCATTCATGTGTAATTTCTAGGTCAACTTAACACTTTGTATGTGCGAATAGTTGGTGTTAGAAATCAAGCATCAACAATATATTTATAAAATAAAGATTTCATGCTGTGACATAATAGTGAAATCTTATTTCATCATTCTTTTCATTATATTTAACGTGCCTTTACTTTATCTATATTTTTTTAAAAATTGAATATGGATCTAGTGGCTGACTTTATCTCCTTTTTAACTAATGGATTGAAATATATTACAATCTAAGAATGAAAATCGGTATTGGATTATTATTCTCAATCATTTCTACAAATCAAATACTACCTAATACTTTCAACCTAAAATAAGTTGAAAGAATATACATTTAAAAAACTAGAAAAAAATAAATTAATGATAAAAGTGGTTGCAAATAACAGGAATGCGATCCGTGATTGTAAACAATTTTATTGTTATAAGTAAATTTTCTATTTACAAAGTTGAAATTCTAATTAATATGATTATTGACCTAAAGTATCACATTTATTAAAGGATGATGTAACAAATAATTATTTTTTATAATTAATGTGTCGTTAACACACAATATGTTATAAACTTTGGATTATAACTTTTTTACATATAATTTTATTATTTAAAGTTTTAAATTTATATAGTTGTTCTCTTTTAGAAATATTCGACTATTATCAATAAAAAATGACTATCTAATTTATCCAAGCCAACCTTAGATAAGATTTGTCGCCTGTTTGAGTTGATGTGGCATTTTAACATATTTTTTTAATTAAATAAATTTTATATTAATTAAGTAAACCCCACTTAATTGAAGTGAGTCTTACTTATCAGAAATTGTTGAATAGTCAACATGTGCTTTAAGAGAATATTAAAGCACCGCATGAAATACAGGTGAACGTTCAGTCTTGTATAACACATTGGATTGAAAATTACACTAGATCTTTTAGTTCCTTCAGTTAAGGCCTGTACACTGGTTAAAAGACTTTAGCCCAGGTGAAGTCTTCCACGTGGGACACAAGTGTTGACTTAATTAGCTACTAGTCTTCCTTGACTGTTGGACGTTCGCGTGTTAAATAAGCACATTACCGAGATGAGAAGTATGTCATATATATATATATTAGATACCATAAGTTTAATTGGCATTTCTCTGTGATTAGAATATATATTTGAGAGGGCTCTGGTGCTATCGATTACTTATTAATTTCCGGTCGAAATATTCAGGTACAAATGCACACCTGTTACATTATTTTAATTATATATTCGCGTTCTTTATTTTCACCATTTTGGCCCAGAAGAAATAATCCTAAGTTATTTTGTTATTCGTAATTTAAGCAATTAATAAATGATGCATAAATAACATGTTATAAATTTTTTGGCATGGTTTGGTATTTTAGTGTATTATAACTTTTCTTTGTTTGGTTAATGAGAAAATGAAAAGCTAGTGAAGGTTGAAAAAATGAAGAGAAAGTAAATTTGTGTTTGGTTAATGGGAAAATGGAGAGAAATTGATAATTAAAAGAAGTTAGGTTTTCATTTGTTGGTTAATAGATGGGGTTAATTGATGATATCCGAAATAACTGTGGTCAATTTTTTTTCCTCATCAAAACTTGAAGTATTAATCATGAAATTAAGCCTTAAAATATTGTAAATAAAACTGAAATTTCAATTATACCCTTTAGTTATTACCTGTAATTGATGCTGTTAATGTTAACAGTACTTTATGATCATTTTGCGCATAATTATATTATTAATTAAAAAAAATTGTTATTTTTTTTAATTTTATTATTAATTTAAAATCGTGTGGTCTAGACCATATGATAATTTTTGGAGCTTAAAGGGTGTAAGCGTTTTAACGCTTAATAATTATAAAAAATTTTGGGTCTTTACTCTTTCAACTTTTATCCTGTTAAAACTATGAAAGAATCCTAACGTTACGGGTTTAAAGTAATTATCAATATGTAAGGGTTTTTTTTTTTTTTTTTCCAAAGATTTAGATATAACTCAAGGGATATAATATATATATATATAATTCATGCACAATTTGTCTTATTTAATATATTCATAAAATTAATTCTGAATAATATTTCTTGTAATCAAAGACAAAATGATCTCAGGTTTAGTTATATCATTGTCTGTTATGTTATTAATTAACTAGGATTTACCACAGTAAAAGCATGGAGGCTGAGTTCCATCCGACTCAGGTCCAAGAGGCTAAAGTCCATGAGGCTGAGTTGGTCCAAGCGGCTAAAGTCCATGAGGCTGAGTTGGCCCAAGACGCTAAAGTCCATGAGGCTGAGTTGGCCCAAGACGCTGAGTTCCATCCGATTTTGGTCCATAAGAGCCAGTTGATAACCTATGAGGGTGCGCTCCATCCGACGCAGGCCCATGAGGCTGAGTTGCTCGAAGAGGCTGAGGTTGAGCATAACGATTGGATAATTAACATGAACGGAGACTTGGAGCCTGGTCCTGAGTGTTGTATTTGTAGAGTCCCGAAAAATATTCGTAAAGTCAACGAAGAAGCCTACACTCCTCGAGTAATTTCAATAGGCCCTTTTCACTTCCGTAAAGAAAAAATGAAAGACATGGAAAAGCAAAAAGAGAGATATGAAAGAAAGTTTTTCGAACGAACAACTCCTGGGAAACGTGATCAAGTTTTAGCCTTCATCAAAGAAAACGAGCAACAGATACGAAATTGTTATGCAGAGACCTGTGAGCTTCAGAGTCATGAATATGTAATGATGATTCTACGTGATGCTATTTTTATCATAGAGCTGCTCTTGAGGAATCATGAGAGGAATAGAAGTGACTTTTGGTTAGCTATACCAGCAGAAAACATTGCTTTAAAGATGGACTTGCAATTACTGGAAAATCAACTTCCATATTTTTTACTTGAGGGATTATACAAATTAGTTGACCGAAGCCCTTCCTTCATTGATCTTTGTTTTAAATTCTTCAGGGATCAGATGTTTGATAGTGTACCTCACCTAGAAGAGATTAAACATTTCACCGATTTGCGAAGAAGTGCTCTACTGAAAGGCTACCCGGAGAAGAAATGTAATGATCGTGAATATTCTGAATTTCATTTACCCTGTGCGGCGAAGCTACATGAATCAGGAGTGAAGTTTAAGACTACGCATCAGTGCTTACTTGATATAAGATTTGAAGCAAAAAAGTTAATAATACCACATTTAAGAGTTTATGACGAGACAGAAACTATACTTGGGAACATAATGGCTTTGGAGCAATGTCATTATGTAGATAATACTCCCGTTTGTGATTATGTTGGACTACTAGACTCTCTTATCGATACTAAAAGCGATGTGGATTTGCTTGTTAAGGAGGGAATTATTTCCAATTATCTGGGCGAGAAAATGGCATTAGTAAGTTTGTTTAGCAAACTTTGCTCACATACGCCTGTAAATAAACATTCTTACTATGAGACTGTTCCGGCACTGAATGCGCACCATTATTATCTTTGGAACCAGCGAAAGGCAATCTTGAAAAGAATTTATTGCAGCGATTTCGCGAGAATGTCAGCAACTGTTTCAGCTACTGTACTCATGATACTCACTATTATACAAGTCATATGTTCTGTCGGGCAATGGGTCAAATAGATGCATTTCAAAGACCGTTGGAGAGGTACAGCAACTGTTGCGGCTGCTATAGGCTTGCTACTCACTTTAATAAGTGCAGCGAATTCTTTCCTCAGATAGATGTATTAGATTAATTCATTATGTTGCATTTGAAGCTTTGTCGATTGTATAATTAATAATAAAGTCTTGCTATTTATATATTATTCACTTTTTATATATGTTTATATGTTTAATCATTTACCATAACCATCTCTTAGGTTTTTATTCCAACTGGACAATTCTAATTCGCAATTAGGGGAGGCATGGTCAGTCGAACAAATCGAGGATGAGAACCAAACCAGGAAAGTTACACAATCCAAGATGGGTCAAGATCGAGCATGTATCTTTCCAAGAGATGGATTGCTCGGCAAAAATTCATCGCAAATGAAGCTTCAGTGCAAGGAAAGTTCAGGGAGATGCCATCGGATGGCCTGGATATGAATGAGGACTTGAGAAAGTCGAGCTTCTGAATATAAAACAGCGCTGCTTGGGAGGCAAACTAAGTGGTTCCATTGTTTTTCATTTGTTTGTTGTTTTTAAATTGTTAGTTTTCTTATGATTAGAATGATTTGTAAGTTTGTGTGTTTTTAGGTGTTTCGAGTGAAATATCGAACTAAGGCGAAAAGGAAAAATTTACAGTTTTCGCCACGGCGAATACATTTTGCAGAAGAGGAATCAAAAAGTCCCAGACCCCCACGGCAAAATTGTTCTTTCGCCGAGGCGACGTGCTCATCTAGAATTTTTTGCCATGGCAAACAATTTTCTTAGCCACAGCAGACAGGGTAAGCGAAATTGAATAAGGGAATTCGCCGCGGCGAAACATTTTTTCTTCGCTACGGCATCAACTGGGTTGAATATTGTTACAAAATAAGAATTTCGCCGTGGCGGAAGAACGATTGTTAATATAAATAGTTCATCGCAACTCTCATTTTCGCGAAAAACTTCCAAAAGCATCCGAGAGCCACACACTTCCACCTTAATCCAGAGTTTCTCAGTGAATTTCGCACCTATACCTCACTTCTTAACCCTCATAAACACCGAAACAAATCATTTTTAGCAAGGATTTTTGCAAAAATTTGAAGAAAATTTTTGAAAACCCTTGGTTTTCAAAATTGGGGGATCTGCAAATGGGGACCAAGAATGGTGAAGCGGTTGGTGAAACATATTGGGTTGTAAGATTTCTGGTTCTCCAACATCTAAAGTTACTCAATTTTGATTTCAGTGCTTTAAGTTTGAAATATTGTGTGAATAAGTTGGTTGTGGATCTTTGGTGAAGTTTGTGTATGATATTGATTAAAAGAGTATAGATCTTGATTTTGTTGGTGTTGAGTGAGGTTGGGTTTTCGATTTGGGAGTGTTTTATTGGAGTGGGAAGAAGAGTGAATTTGGTGGGTCTAGTGCAAAATTTTTTTTGAAACTTTGGTGTATTTGCAGGAGTGATTTTGGTCAGTAGTAAAGGGCATTTAGAGTTGAATATGGTTGAATCCTTAGTTGGGGGTGCATTTGGGTATCACCAAGCAAACCAAAATGCCACTCAAGGTACCTTCCCAGGTAAGGAAAAGGAAAAAATAGACAATAGAGTTTTAGTGACACGGCTCGCCAATATATGAAGGAGCAATTCAAATGAAGGATAAGGGGGTGTTATGTCGAGTGTGGATTGACACAGCCATGCCACGAACAATGGATGAGGGAGAACGTTGGGAGTTTTTAGAGTGAACCTGAACATGCGGCCATAGAGCGATAGTGAGAGATTTTTGTCACCTCCCTGAGTGTGATCCTGGGCATGTATTTTTTAGGGGATTGATGTGCCATTGATGCAAAATGTCATCAATGATTTTTACAACGGCCTTCGATTAACCGTTGATGAGTATCAGAATTAGAAGAAAAAATTAAAGAGGATGAGATACTTAAGGTCATAGCAAAAAACGGATACCCTGGGAGATTCGAATAAGGGAAGAAGTGCATAAGGAAAATGATCTGATACGATGGTTGTTGTGGCAGTACTTGGGTGCGAGGATGAGATTGGGACACATATAGTTCAGTAACTTTTGAAAAGGCAGTGTTGCGTTTATTTTTGCCACCGGAAAAAAAAAATGGATTGTGGGATATTATCATGACGAGTATATAGAATGCCCAGCAACCAGGGTGGAGGGAGCTTCTCTTTCCCACATCATCATCACCGAGCTGGTGCACTCGAGGGAATAGAGAAGTCGAATGATGAACCCACTATTATCCTGCACCAGTCCTCGAACCCAACTACTATAAAAAGCATCTTGAGTCGGCCACCCAGTGAAGGACCCAGATCCGGACAAAAGATGAGAGAACCACAGAAGCTACCACATCATCCAGTTGACATCCAAATAAAGGAGCTACTGTAAGATTTGTGGCAAGATGAAACAAAGGAATGACGTTAGGGTTGGCTAGTAGAGCAGACTGGAGATGTAGATATGGAACAAGTGCTGCACAGCTAGACATTGATACTTCAAGCTAATGGGCAGACTGGGATTTGATGAATGGAGGGGCGTCGAAGAAGAAGATTGACGACAACGGAAGAAGAGGAGGAGGCCAAAGAAATAAAACTGAGCACTGTTTTTAGTTTATTTTTATTTTTAGTGTATTGTCTTTTATTTTGTACTTGAACTAATTTTCTTTTTGTTTGGATTGTTAATTTTGTTTGAACTACTTAGTTGTGGAAGGGCGAGATTTAGGATGGTAACATAGATTAGTCAGTGAAATTTTTAAACATAGTGGACACACATAATTTCAATTGTTTACAAATTATGGGGATGAGAAAGCCAAGTGAAACGGGTGTACATGCATGAGCGAAATTCTGAATTCACGGACTAATCAGGGGAACTATTGTACTTTGTTGAAATTCGTTTTTCTTTCTGAATTGTGCTAATGTGACATTGGGGACAATGTCATCTTTAGTTGGGGGTAGGAAAAATTTGAAAAATTTTTTATTTGTGTTTAGTTGTTTCATGTTTGTGTGTGTTATGTAATGGTGAATTACAAGTCGTATCTAGATGAGAATAGGATTATTGGGATTCTATGTTGAAAAATGTTAGCATGCTCAGTTTATGTTGGGTGACTAATTTCTTGAGGTTGTTAAGTGGTTCAACCCACCATTTTCATTATTTCGGCATGCTTAGATTCATTTTATGTGGTTAGGTAAAGTTGATAATGTTGGTGGACTTAGAACTAGTGAGAAGTGTTTGGGTGAAATTCTAGGAATAGACATTATTGAGGAAGTTGTCTAAGCAGTTTTTCGAAATGGTGGAGCCTTCCAACCGACCATAATTTTATCCCTAGTGACCCCTTCGAGCCTTATGAAATCATCGTTGCCATTTCTTGTGGCAACCAATAATGCCAAACCTTTCACCCTAAACACCGTTCGCAACCTTAAGAGAATTCTAAACCTAAGGCAAACACAAAAGAGCTTGAGAGTTGTGTAAGAGGCTACCAACTAAAAGATTAGTTGGGGGTTGTGAAGGAAGACAAGAGAATAAGAAGGGGTTAATAACCTCAATAAAGACATTGTTGCTAATTAAAAAAAAAAAATTTGAGAATGCATGCAATAGCAAAATGAGAAGTGCACATGTTTGAGGGTTTAAAATGGTTGACATCTTGAGTGGTGGTTGAGAAAGAAAATGGAAGTTGATATAAGTCTTGGTGTTTTGCTTAAAGGAACCGAGTTCTCTTGCTGTTATATCCTTCCTTTCTTGGAAGCCTACTAACCGAGCCAAACGTTACAAGCCTATAAAGACCTTTTGATCTTTAGTGATGTCTAATCCCATTAGTGGAGATGAGTTCGATACTAGCCTATGGGTCTGTTGCCATTTGATAACTTTGTATTGTTGCATAAAATAATCGCAGAAGGTGGAATATGGACTGAAGTGGGGATCACTACTCGAAGGACCATAGAGAAAGACGTCAATGCAACTTATAACTTCTTGGAGTTGTGAACATTTTCTAATAATAATTTTTCAAAATCTTTGAGACTTATATAAAATCTAGGGCAGGTCGTTGTGTTAAGTTGAGTCCATGTTTCTAATTTCATTTCGATTTTGTGTTTTGTGTTTTTGTTTGTTAGTCGTTTTTTTCTATGTCGTGTTTTGTACCTGATGCTCCGGGATGAGCATGTCTTTGTTGGGGGTATGATAACCGCGGATATACTAGTTTTATTTAGGCTTTTTGGCGGATTTTGGATACTTCTTAGTTTTGTTTATGCCTGAATTGCTACTTAATTCCCCATATTTCTATTTCAGGCCAAAATGTGTATTTGAGCAATAAGGGAGCATTGGAGTTTTTGGACCAGAAGTAATGAATCTCAATATTGGGGAAGTTCTGAGCGGAGTTGAAGCACTATGAAGCTTGTTCCCATGGGAAACATTCGAAGATCAAAGATTCAAGCAAGGAAGCAAGGAGGGCAATTCTATAAATTCAGAATTTTCAGAAGGTCGCCGCGGCAAGGTTATTCTTCGCGCGACGCAAGAAGTAAGCACGAGATTCCACTGAGCTCATCGCGCGATGAAATTCTCTTTGCACGACGAAGTCTACGAAATTTGTTTCTCCAAACACACAGTTTTATTTTAGGAAAGTTTTAGGTTCTTGGGTGAACTATATATAGAAACTTTGCCATTTTGAGAGGGGGTCGTCTATGGTCGCCTAGTTTGGTTTTGTTTTAATGAGTTTGACATTTTGGCGAGAGAAAGGGAAAAGATTTGAGATTAATCTGTGGATTCTCAACTAGGGGAAGATCTGTTCTTTTCTCTTGTTTCAATATGTTGACTGCTATGTTTACTGTTTTTCTTGCATGTTGTGTAATTTAGTTATGAACAACCCATTTTGGGTTAAGGTTTTGATGTAATTCAGTTTTTTAGGATTAATCAATTGATTGTTGTTGCTTTTACATCTATTGCATAGATTGTGTGGTTATTCTGATTTTATGTGTGACAATGATGAGATGAGAAATGAATCAT